CAGCATGACTACATATGAATGTAATGACACGTTCTGAAATTTTATCTATTAACAGTAATTGCAGCATGAGCAAAATAATAGTAATGTTTCTATATATTGACGTATTATGTGTATAATATACGAGTATAAATACATTACATTTATACAGAATGTTGATTTAGTTTCGAATGATAATGGAGTCAAATTTCAAGCCTTATCTTTGTCTCCCAAAGACATTGGTATGTTACGTTTCACTTATATTAGAAGTTTCAGCTTTTCTGTGACTGACATACTGATTTTAAAATTAATTTATTACATGTCTCTAATACTTCAGTCGATTTTTATTGCTATATATTTAAAAAAGTTTTTATCCTTTGAGTTACTTTGTTACTCCAGTCAGATCATTTTCGTTTTAGAAAGTTGAAGAAGCTGCAAGATTGCTTAAAATGTCAAAGTTTGGCTTATGTTTACCCGAGTAATAAAATGCCTGGATCATCTTCAGAAAATAAAGTATTTATATTCGTGAAAAAAACCCTAGTTGCTAAAATTTCTACAGTACATATAAAATTGTGATTTCCACAGATGAAAAAACTGACAGCTCATTTATTTTCAAGCAACTAATGAAGAATATTGGTATAATTATTTAGCACAATTATTTTTAACTCTTTATCTCCGGAACAAATACAGGCTTTGGACGGGACAACAAAAATGACCTCAAAGCAGTCTTGGCATGCTCGATTATCGAAATATATAAGTATTATACACTACAGTAAAGGGAAATGGATGTAGATTTATATCCTACTAAAATATGAAGGTTTTGAGAAAGATAAATTAATTTTCGACTGTGAAAAAAATGGCAGGAAGATAGACAAGATGGAGAAATATTCACATAAGCATAACTTACCAAGTCATAGCACGCCCCCATGGCGAATATCCACTGCAAAAGCTTCAAAATGACAGTTAGGTGAAGATTGTTGAAATATATATCCATAATTATCCTTGAAACCATCTGTAATGTGCATCAGTATGCATTACGTCAAAGGGAGTTAATAAATAAGAAAATGAGGAACAGCATTTTACAAATATATACAGTCTAGGTACAGCAATCATCATGTCTAGGCTGGTGCTACTCGTCGTGTTGCTTGTGATAAAGCACAAAGCACTTCTTTGGACACATATTTAGTCTGTCTGTGCTTCCTGTGAAAACATAACTCGAGCAATGACGTTTCCAGGACCATTTCACTGTACACAGTCTCGGACCTTTCCTTTATAGTCCACAAGATGTCTGGCTCTAACCACCCTCTCCACTTCATTTCCTTTCTTCCCATGTTTTGAATTATTTGGTGGACAGTTTATGATGTCTTCTGGTGTCACCTCTGCAGCTTTGTTTGTGAGGCCATCAATGAGGTTCTGTTTTAAAATTTGCAGGCTCATTTTTTGTCCCTTTGGGCTGGCGTAAACTGTACAAGATGTGGGCATTTACTTGGATCACTTCGATAATCCAGTGGTACATTTTCTTCCATCACTTCCGACTGTGCATACTATAATGTTCCAACTTCTGATCCATACGATCACAGCCATTCATCAACATGTTGTAGTTATTCACAACTTTTGGCTTTACGATGGTGTTTGTTTCTGCCCCCTTTTGAATGGTTTGCATTGCACTTTTGATTGATACCAAAACACATGGAGTTTTTGCCTTTTTGTCCCTTCAACCAACACACAGTGTTTTGTTTCCAGAGTCCAAAAACCACATCCCCTCCTGATGGTCAATTTCAGACTTTTCACTTCTGCAGTTAAGCAGACGCAGTTGCTGTTGAGCATGCTAGTGTAATTGAAGCTCTGTGCATAGATAATCTACAAGAGTTGCTGAAGTGTAGTACCTGTCGGCAAACACACGAGGACCTGGCTGTAGGGGCTTCAGAAGAATGTCAAAAGCTTTGACAGTATGAGCAGAGTTGGTGTCAAGGTCAGGGTTGTATGCTGTGTCCTTTCTGAAACAAATTTTCAAATTGACAACATAGCCTGTCGCAGAATCGCAAAGCCCGAATGTCTTAATGAGATATTTTTGGGGCTTTCTTGCATTGAACTGCTTATGCTTGAATCTGCCTTTCCACCCGATAACCATCATACCAACACACACATTTTCATACAGGTTGAAGGCAGCATGGAACTTTTCCAACAACTTATCCACAAACGGCTCAATCTTTGCTATATCTTCAGCATCTGGTTCACAGACATGAAGCATGCTTGGTAAGTAATCTCAAGTATGTCCCTAGCAAACATCTGATGGTACCAGGTGTGTAGAGATATCCATTAGTGGACCAGAAGTCCCTGATCTTGGGTTAAGGGTCCAAACCCATAGCAATTAAAACTGCTGTAAACTTCAATCATTCATAATAAATAACCGGCGTCCACAAAGCAAATGATGATCGTTTTGTTGGAGAATTTTTTTTCTCCAAAACCTTTGCAGCATATGCACTTACGCTAGAGATCAAAGTGGCCACAATTTCTTCATAAAGCTTTGAGGAAATCCAGTGGTGAATGACTTTCTTCCAAATCCAGCTTCATGTTTCGCTGTGGCTCACAGAATGAAAAGTTTATGTCAGTCTCTCCTTCTTCAACTACTGTCTATGCTATTTCATCTTCACCATTCTCACAATCTCCTCCTGCTCTTACAATTGTCATATTCCTTGTTAGGTCTAGATCCAAACCCTCATAGTAGCACCACTGGTCTTTACCTTGCCTTTACCTGTAGTCACACCTGAAGGGCCTGCCACAGGATTCTCCTCTCTCTCACTTTCACTAGTTCTATCCAAATTAGATTTCTCACTATCATCATTATCAAGACCACTTGGAATAAAGTCATTTTACTGGCTCAGAAATTCCTCAAAGAACTTCCTAGCTTACTCAAAAGTAAAGTGACGAGGCCTACCAGAAGTAGTGGGTTTGGTCATTTTTAGTTTCAAAATAGGGAGTTCAAAACACTTGCATAAATTGCTGAAAATACATATGTCTTCTATCAAATTGGCGCTCAGCTTGAAGATATTTCTTTAATGGAAGTACTTTTAGTTTTATATAGAATATATAAGACATTCAAAATGTGAGATTGATTGTGAAACGAAACAAGACCAACAAATCGACATATAGGCAGCTCATCCAAGTAGGAAAACGAGTGCGTCGATATATCGGCTGCTCAGAGACAAAGAGTTAAGCATCAACAAATAATGTGTACCAAAGAATTTAAATCTATTCAGCCATAACATTGAAAGTTCAATATTCTGTACACAAATCATGAGTGTGAAGTTATTAATTAGCAAAGTTCTGTACAAGAATTCATCACTACATGTATGTGACTATTTTATATTAGATAATTTTCACTCCTACACATTTAGTACCTCTGAATAAAAATATAATTAAAAACAACAACAAAGTATATAATACTAATGTTTTCTATTATAGAACTTCACAAAAAATGTAGTACACATAATTAGGTTAGATAATTATGATAAATCTGTCCACTGATAAATTTTATTAATTATCTTATGGGAGTTAAAACATTTCTACAAACAACTACTTACTGAAAACTAATACGTATTTACAATGTTTTAACTGTCATTACTATATAACAGTATAAAATTATTATACATTTTATTTAAAATTCTCTCAATATGAAATGGAAGATTGACATTGTATATTAGTTTTTATACATCAAAAACAAAGTCATTAAACAAAAAGATGTGGAAGGCTTCCAAAAAAATGTTTTTGGGGTCTGAACTGACCTTTAATACATTAATATCAGTATCCTGGAACCAAAAACTTATAACATGTTACACCAACAGTGTCTCTAATATAATTGCAACAAATAAGCAAAATAAGTCTTAAGGGAACAATACACGAGATGTGTGTGTCTGAAGTGCTATTTTTCAAACATTGTAAGAAAAAGTTCAGGCAATAATAACACTGGTCGACAAAATCGAACTTTTTTCTCTCATTGGTTTTCTTCTAACATATCTAGTTATCAAAATATGACTGGTGTTAATTTCAACACAGTTTAGGTAATAATCACACATTAGGCTAGTTAATGTTACAACTTTATTCATTTTTCAGTATAATTCCCATAAAAGTTATACATACCATACACTTGGTTAAATTTATATAGTACAGGCTTATGAAAAAGAAATGTACAACTTAAGTTATAAGAAAGGTGTCCCAAGAGCTATCTAGTTCACCTATAGTTATATCTGATGAAAATGACTTGATGGCAGTGTAATCAGATTATGACTTATTACTCTTACCTGATGATGACTCAATACTGTGGGTGAAAATGTTGTAATTATTAAAATAAGAACTTACCTACTTGTAAAAGTTACTGTTATTGTATTTTTAAATAAAACATTCATTAGTCTTCCCAAAATAGTTTAAGCAGAGAATTTTTAAATCTGAAGATTTGTTTATATTTGACAGACATGTATACAAAATACACCATACTAGACTCAATGATTATCACAAGAAAAGTAAAAAAATTAATACATTATAACCAGATATTATGACCCATTACTTGGGATACATATTACTCTAAGGCTCTCATATTTTGTCATTATTAAGACCTGTAGGAAATATATATATATTTTTCCACATGTTTCAAAATCTAATTACACTTTTTACACTGATAAGCCTTTTTGGGTATTTGCTATATTTTTGGAAAAACTGTAATAAACCTTTTTTAAACCCTTCCTAGACTGGATTATGACATTAAATACAAATATTTATCCAAGACATTGTAACCTGGAAGCTCAAACAAAAACTTGACCTGATACTCTGTAAAAGCACAAAGCTATTGACCTCTTGTTTTCTTAACATTACAGTGATAACACTGACATAGAGAAAAGTTTTAAAAATACTTAAAAAGAAGGATAAAATATTTTATTTTAAAATCAAAGAGAGAATCTTCATAGATTACTTCTTTACATATATTACAGTGGGAAAATAATGTTGAAACAGATATACAAAAACCTTTGTTAAGAAAAAGAGATATAGACTTAAAAATAAATATGAATGTCTTCAAGTTGTTAAGTAATAAATGACATTTACTTAATACAAATCGACTTATTACACATACACAGAATTCTCTCTCTTTCAGTACTGAAATTGTTTTGAGAAGGTTCTAATTCAAAATTATTTTGAAAGTTCATTTACCTGGTGCATTCCAAGAACAAATTAATTTTACCAACACATTTTTAAACACAAAGCAAAAGTTTTACATGATATTTATCCAATAATTAAGCAAGAGAAAGATGATTAACTAAATTTAGTGCATGACTAGTTCCATAAATCTCTTATAAATGAAGGAAAAACCAAAGAAAAACACTACAACAATTAGTTTGCTACAGTAAAAACAGTTATTTACATAGTTACATTCCAAAATCCTTTTTGATATGATAAACAAAATTGTTAACTATGATGTACTTTATATTGTTAATACAAACATGATTTTTAATTACTCTCAGTAAAAATGATTTAACATGTCAATTACTTAATAAAAAAAAATACTATAATTTTCTATAGTCTATACATATTTTCCACAGAGAAAATACAAATTCAATTAAAACATACTAACATTAAGGAGTAGTAGTAATAACTTTACTTGAAGTTAATGTGTATAGAAATGATTTTTTCTGTATCACATAATAAAGACATTACAAATTGATTAAATGAGCCAAACCACATCAAATATTATGCCCAATACTTTGTCTTAAAAGCATTTCTTTCAATTAAGTATTTCAATCACTGGGCATTTTTACAGCCATAAATAAATCTGTGTTCATTATCCCATTCTGTTATTACACTAAAAATGTAAAAATAATTCTTTAAATTAACAATAAGGCCAATAATTTAAGTGAAGAGAGACAGTATTTCACTGATCTATGAACTTGCATCACAACATAATATTACATATATCACTTTTTATAGATATACTTCAACCTTTGGTTACACACACACAGAGCTGTGAGGTATTATGTTCAGTTAATAAGTCTAAAACTATCTTTTTCTTCTTGTTGGAGTCCACAACTGTAAGTATTTCTTGTTTAAAATGCACATATTATTTAGATATTTATTTTCTATATATGTATAAACATCCATACACATATAAACATAAGAAATCTAACAAGCCAAGTATTTCTTCATAAATGATTCATCCAATACATAATTTATTAGTTTCAAGAATGCACATATAAAGATTTGAATTTTATCCTTATAATAAGCTATTAAAATGTCAATACATGAAAATTATCCAGTATATCAATTCTACCACAAGCACAATAACAATCATTTTCTTAAAGTGTCCTCTACTAAAGCTTCTTTATACAAATCAATTAACCTATAAAAATATTGCATATCTCATAGTTCAAACAACTCAGTGTTATTCTTTGAATAATGGTATCATTATCAGGTATTATTTATCCCTTTGCCCAATAAACCAGCTAAAGTGCAATGTCAAATTGTTTATTTCTCTATTACAAGAACAAGATCAATATTTTTGCATATTATATATTATAAAAAAAATATATTAAGAAAACTAGTCCTGTTATCATATATAAAAGACACTTAAAAAACTTTTAACCAATATTCAAAGAATTCAAACAATGAGTTTGAGATTTGTGACCAGCTTCTACATTCATTCACTGGATCAAATGAAAAATAGGAGCATATATCTAAAATGACTTGATACATAAGAACCAATTAAATGTGCTTAATGAATATCTATGGACAACCTATAATGCCATTGAAATTTTTTCATCATTTCTTGTTCTGATGTAAAACTAGTCAATAGAGAAAACAACAGGAGTGAGTTGTAGTGTGACTCTTTACCCAAAATTCTGAGTATCATGAGATTGTATTAATTTAATTTTATATGATCTCCATTAAACCTCTATACACGCATTTTTATTTTTTCTATCAGTTCAATATGTGGTTAGTTCTATAAAAGATAGAAACTTGTTTAGAAATACTGTAAAGCTCTACAGATACTACTGGATTCTGTGTCTTGAATTGTATGAATAAATATAATAATTTGAGTTATCTTTTTTATCAGTTTTAGGTGAAACCTTTTGATATATTACTTAGAACTGAGCAACAATTTACTATTTGTGAAATTATGTATTACATTTACATCAATGTCTATGCCATCTTACAAGTATTAAAATTTTCATTTCTTTGGGTTTATTTCTATTATTATAGGTTAGTTTGTCAACCTTAACATGAAACTGCAACATCCCTGAATACATCTTAAAACATGAAAGGACCTATAAGATAAAAACCAAATATTCTTCAAAATAACCATATTCTGAAACTTGGTGGAGCAGAAAATCATAACTAATACTGTTGAGAAAAATAATTTTATTTTGTAATTGGGTGAGTTTATTCAAAGTGGTCTGGAATTTGTTGTTTTAGAAATGTATTGTTCAGATATTGTAATATTGACTGAGACAATAATTAAAAGGGCCAAAATTTAGTATATTATCATACTGAAACACTTCCTTTAGTTACTGTAGGGGTGCTTCTCTTTACATCATGAGGTAATAATGTTCCAATGCATTTTATGTCTCAATGGAAATAATATACAGTGATGATTCTTTTCTAATAAATATCGTCCAATTCTGATTAAAACTAAAACAGGTAGAGTTGTCATGAAGTGATGACTTTAGGAAGTAAAAAGTCTGCCAATATGCAAAAGGTTAAAATAAATAAAACCTAATATACAAATCACAACCAGTGAAATGAAACAAATTACAATTGCTTGTATGATTTTTTAAACTTATACTTTAGCAGGTCCAATGTTTTCTAAAAATGAACCATGTATAAAAATGATTACCAACAAAAAGATACAAAAAATGAGTCACTGTGGTGACAAGACTTAATAATAAGTATTTGCAGATATAAGTACCCTGTTAATATCAGTTCAATCTACAAATTTTACTGTTTTTGGAAACCTAAGAAAGATTATACAAGAATATAATGGCTGTCAACAATACTTCTTACTATTAAAATTCATGCCATTTAAGTTTGAATACCTGCACATCTTTTTCCTATTAAACATTATATACACTTTACATATAGGTTTATACATCACAGTTAAAGATTTCCTACATACTAAATGATCGACATGAGCGATCTCTAGAAGTACTGGTTTGCTGCCGTGAATGAGCTTGATCCTGTATCCTCCTCAGTAATTCTTCCCTCTGTTCCCTCTCTTCATTTTCAACTTGTTGAAGCCAACACTATATAGAAATTTTTAATTAACTGAGCTGAGAGGCTTGATACAAACTATAGGCCAATGAATGTGATTAGATATAACATATCAAATTCACCGATCATCATTGACATCAACTTAACATAACTATAAGGACAGACACAAGTTTAAAAGATCTCTAGTCATACTTTGTTAACTTGCATGGAAAAATGGTTCAACTTTAACACTTTCCATACAGGCTCAGTCATTTTGACCAACCTTCTACCCACCAAGTAATCATTTTTTTAATCAAGTATTTTTACCAAGAATTTGTCTCGGAATATATGGATACAAGCTGTAAATCACTCAGCGAATGTGTAGCTCAAGTTAAATATTGAATAATGTAATACATGGACCACTCGAGACCACACCTCAAGGAAAATTGTTTTATTATTATTATTTTTCATTATCTTACCCAATCTAACCTGATAATTTGCTAATTTTTCCATTTTACTTACTTTTATGACAATAAATAAATCATATAAATTAAAAACAAGAAATATAGTACACATAATTGACAAACCTTTTTTTTTGCTATCTGTTGTCAATGATATGTATGGCTACATTTGTTTTGTAATGATGATACTAATAAATTAGATATTTTGTGTATATTTAAAGAATACACATGAGGACACAGAATAATAACATACACAAAGCAAACAATATCCTTTAACTATTATAATTTAACTGGCTTTCTAACTAATGCATAAATGCCAAAAAATAGTTCTCTTAGCTTCTCTATTTGAACTCTATGAGAGAAACTTTCAAACAGTAGATGAAATAGCTAAAACTCTGTACTGAGAACAAAGTAGTTTTATACATCATTCGGTAAATTGTACATTGTCTTTCTATTGATTATAACTCATCTAGCAGGAAACATCAGAAAGAATTATTGGCAATTTATGAAAAAGAGGATGTGACAGGTGTGTACGGTAAGTGGGACTTTCTTTCTAGTTTATAGCTCCATAAACAAAGATAATTTAAGGCTATAAAAATTAGACTTTGCCTTAACAATATCTAAACTATGTTGAGTAATTTTTGTTAAACTCAGTATGTCAGAGAGGGATGTTGAAAGAAATTATAGAATGGGCAAAATGTAGTGAACAATTGTCATGATTCTCATATAAGAGAAGACTGAAGATTTACTTAAATATTTTCTTTTAAAATTCAGAAATTAAAACTGTTATTACATTAAAAGTTGATCCATTAACTAAGTTTGTATGCCAAGTTTATTCATACACACTGATAATAAAGTAGTTTAATCAAATTTTTAATGTAACTATAAAAGGTCGTGATGTGCACTTTGACCTACTCCTAGTGAAAGTTGATCTATAACACCAAGCAAATCAAAATATAATGATTGAGGTTAAAACTAGTAATTTAGTCTAGCAATCTTAAAGGGGATTAACTATTATAAAATACAATGTTTAAAGTTAACATTTTTCTTACACTGAAAATGTTTTTCGATAAGTACTTACCTCCTTTCATACAAAGCTATCTTGATCTTCTTTCTGCTCTTTAAGCATTGTTAAAACGTTTTCACGCTCAGTGCACCAGTCTATATACCCCATCAATTTCCCTCCATTTTTGAACATGTACATATCGTGTGACTAATTTCCACCAATAGTATTGCACCACCTATACTGGCACAGATAGTGTCCTCTGCTATTCCAACTCAATCCTCACTTTCAAAAATTGGTAGGCTCTTAAAGAACACTGACAGTGGGGAGGAAGGGTGGGAAGTGTGTGAGAAGAGTACCTATCAGAAATACATTTTCAGTATAAGAGAAGTTTTACCTTCCAATGCAGTCTTACCTCATCTCACACAAAGCTAGAATCCCACATTATAAAGGTGAAAGGGCCGATGTAGGCATACTACACTGAAACCAAGTGGAAAGCGACCACCCAGAATGAATGGGTGTGCTCAGAGATGAAACCGAAGCACATATGGGGTACTGCAATACATCTGGAACAGGTATGCTCTTTGCCCTTGAAGCAGGAAATGATTGTGATACAGGCAGAAAAAAGTATGTGCACAAGTGCAATGTGTTTCGAGAGGTGCACTCCATAGTAAAATATAAACCGAATTAATAATGGCTGGAGACGGCTCGAAACGTTGTACATTTGCTGTCATGTTAAACTTATATTAAAGTTTTTCTTCATTACCCATTTAACAAGGTTTTGTCATCATCAGGTACCGAATTAGCTATGTACCTACATAACCTCAACTGGACTGATAAGGTTCCATAACTCGTCCTCAGCATTAGGAGATTGAGGATCAAAACAAATACAACATAACATAAATGCAGCAGCTAGGGCATACGAAATGTGTTACATATACTTATCAAACTCAACCATACGCAGACAGTGAGTCATACCCATGCAACCAGAATTATGAAGAGGAAGTTAGCAGTCACCTGAAACCAAACAAACTCCCAAAACCACCATAGGAGCAAGAAATACAACAAACTGAATATGGCATTACCTCAACTCAACCGTAAGAACAGGGTAATATTTGTAACCAGTATTACAAGCAGAAATCATAAATCACTCAATCATAAATGCAGGGAAGAGATATCATGCATCCAGGATTATGAGGAGGACATGGAACATTCATTCAACCATAGGAACAGTGTACATATGTCTTGTTGCCAGACAAAGTCTCTGAAACTCAACCGAAGGAGCAGGGAAAGAACCTTTTGCAACCATAATTAACAAGAATAGGGCCTCTACTGCACACAACTATAGGAACAGGCTGGTGTCATCCCAAACCTGGTATTATGAAGAGGATCCTGCGTAGGCTGGAGCTGCTCCAACCGACAGCTGTCCACCTGGGCAAAAAATCCAGGGGAAAAAAAAGAAGGAGGGACATTATAATCATGAATGTGTTTGGTAAATTAAAATTCTGCAATGCATTCAGGAGGATGCCTCCATGGTCCACCACTCCAGCAACTAAGAACTGGGAAGTGGTAAGGACTCCCTTGCTCCATTGGAAGAAAAAAATGGGAAGTAAATGTGGTAGGGAGTCCAGAGGAATGTCACATAAGAGAAAGAGCACTGGGTATCAGCGAGTCCCTATTTTGAAATGCAGAACAACCCCAATTTATACAAGGAAAGTTTGGCATGGATGGGCAGAAATCCCCTTCTGCTTTACTCATGAAGTCCATGAGTGATGGTCCACCATTAAGTGAAACGTTTACTGATATCTAGAAACATTTATATATACCACCAGTTGTTTTGCAGAACACTCTATCTGTACAATGAGCATTATAGCACAATCAGTAAATAGTGCGGGTTTGAGGCAGAACCCGCTACAGAGTGGGATCTTATTATTAGTGGTAAAAAAGAGGGTCTCTGAAAAGAAAACATATATGAAAGGAAGTGATAAGACTTTACTCAATCAAAGGCATATGGATATGTGTAGAATCACCATGGGAGGGAGACAATATTCACCTGAGAAAGATACAGTCAGATTGTGCAGCTAATGAGAGAGAAAGGTATTGGGAGTAGTCCATATTCCAGCCTGAATGATCTTTTCCAATGTTCAGTGAAGGTGAGCAGCAAAGACAGGTGAGATGACAAATTTGATGAGAAGAAATGGCAACCTTCCATGGATAAGTGAAGCCCAAAAGGAGTCAAGACGTGCCACATAACACCGTAAGGAGCAAAATGGACAAAGAAGGTGATCGAAATGGGAGTACAGGTGGGAGTTAGAAAGTAAGAAAATGGGTGTGAAAGCCAAACCACCTTCATGGATAGCATGAGTCTTAGGGAGGAAGGACTAGTAGGGATATACAATGACATAAGAGAAATGGTAGAGGATGTGGGGAACAGGTATAGCAGAAATATCTTATCAACAATGTCCACAAGCAAGGAGGAGAAGGAAATATGTATTAAAGGAGAGATGTTACATGGAACACGTAGACAAAAGTTCAAAGAGAGGATGGGAAAGGGCACTGAGATCCCAATCAGGCAAATCAAAGGAACGTGGAGGACACATGATTCAAAATGAGCAGGAAAGAAGGGAAATGACAGGGAAAGACAAAACTTTATGAAACTTGGAAAAATAGAAGGTGTTCGACAAGGCCACCCAATAGCTAGACGTGATCAAAGTGGACAAGCCTTTGTCGTACAACAAGGTGAACAATTGGGAAAGATGAGTAATGGAAGATTGGGAAGGATGGAAACCATGTCAAAAAGACCAAAGGCAGAAGGTAGATCATCACCTTTGTTAAATAGAAATGGAAGAAGGTCTGGCGGATCGGGAAAGGAAAGATGCAACATGTGGAGTCAGTCTCTGTGCTGAGGCAATGGATCTGACAAAAGCCATGCATGAAGACGGATTGTGGTCATTTCTGAATGAACAATGTCCAACTGAGGTTGAAAGAGTAGAGACCAAGTCAGAGTTAAGGGTAGGGGAGGGTGTACAAGTAAAGGTTGGACCAGTGGGAACATGGTTGCACTGGCCAATACAGTCACCAGTAGAACCAGGCATGAAGTGGTTTAGATTAGTGATATAACTCTGTAGAGGAGTCAAACAGGAGGGTAAACATAGATGTGAAGAACCCCAGAGTCAGCAGGCGTGGAATGGGAAACCAAAAGGAGGAAGTTTGGTGTATCAGCGGGTGGCATAGGCATATATGAGCCGTTTCCAACTGGTAACACACCCACTAAAATACCACTTTGTGGGGAGAATCTTGTTTGGATAAGGTAATCTATCTGCAACCAGATTCAGGGTGCCAGGAACATGGCAAGTGAAGACCACAATGTGGTGACTGTGGATCCAGAAAAAGAAGATCCAGGATCTGAAAGCACAGAGACCTGGAATTGGTCCACCTGTACTTGGTGACTACTATGGAGTTGTCAGAGTGTACCATAACCACTCTTCTCTGCATGAGAGGAAGGAAGTGGGATAATGCTCAATGAATTGCCATAACCTGAGAATGGTGATATGGAAAGACAACTTTGATCGACCAGAGACTGGAAATTTGCCGGGACTTGAGGTAACCACCCCAATTCCCCTTAAAGATGCATCTGTGAACAGATGCAAGTCCGGATGAGGCAGAGGAAGTGGCACCTCCACCGTGGTCTGGTCTCTGTCTAACCACCAAATCAGATCAGCTTTGATCGAGGAATAAAGGGTAAAAGGGTGGTCCAAGGGATTCAAGTACCCATGGAAGAGAATGCTTATAAGAACTTTCATAAATGCATGTAGTTTAAGAAACATTAAGCCTGTTACTTTTGATAAATTTAGTTTTTTTTGCATTATGAACTTTAATATCTTGGAAAGTTACATAAGGAAATGGTATTTATAAGAAATGATTATGATATTTATATTTGTTCCAGATTTGAACTTATTACTTTTTTATGTTTTAGTACATTATTTTAAAATCCTCAAAAATTTTTATCGTCCATAAAATGCAAATTTTATCTATTTTAAATTTTTTTAATAATCATGTACTCTCCTTATGGTTTCAAGTAATATACAAGACCCAAAAATAATATTTATAAATAAACCTAAACAATAAATGAATATTTTTTTATTTTTTAACTAGAATTTCATGTTTATATATGTACATAAAAAACATTTTAATTTTGTTTCAAAAACATATTTTTATTTCAAGTTTATGTTTCATTGCATCCATACTTTTGTTTATTGTGCCGAATAAATTGTGAGGTTAGCAGCGTGAACTTTGTACATTTGCCATAAATTATCATGCCTGTTGGTGGTCACTCTCATTCAGTCCACCACAGGTGCATTTCAACGTTACTGTAGATAAAATAGTAAGAAAGCTTTTTGGTACTTAAATATCATTTCTTTGAACTTCCAAACAAGTTTATTTCAACATAACCTTGTTATTTCAACATTGCACTCGCCACTCGATAGCTCTTAACCCTAACAATCGTGGATCAACATCTTTCCTAAAAAATATGTCTATTTTGAGTTAATTTTTCAATATAATGATTAATATAAATAGATATACCATGCAGCATGACTTAAGCTACTATAGAAAAATAATAAAAGTCACATATATTCCATGCAGTTTTTTTCGAGAAGTAAGTTTCTAAGGCTTAGAAAAAAGTTCTGTTGACCAATACTAAATACAACCCCTACATAAAACGGCAGTTACCATAATAAGCACCACCCACATTCATATTGTAAAATCCAGAGAACAATGTTTCGTCACGTGCTTTGCTTATCATCCTATGATTTGTCAAATGTTAAATACAGCAATTGGAATAACACAGTACTGAAATTGGCACCTTTGACTAGGATTGGCTAAAAGTTTTACAACTGAGGTTTAACATGCCCAGACGCTGTTTTATAAAGGAAACAGACTAGAAAAAGGTTTACATACCAATCATAGATGGCAGGACCAGCACTGAAGTGCAAGGAAAAATTCAAATAAAAATTTCTTCTTTGAAGGCACTTATTTATAGTCTCAAATGTATTTTGGGATTTTTTTCATTAAATTTCTCTTTCAACTTCATCAAATAATACAATTTTGTACAAATAATTGATGTTATACTACTATTTACAGAAATAAAATCTGAAATTCAATAAAAGATAAATCCTCAATAATTTTTTCAATTCACACATGCGATTTTGCCCTCACGATAAGACAAAATGGCCACTGCAGGTAACGGATTAAAGAGTCAAGGTTAGTCCAAACTGTAGGACCCTGAACTGGAACACTCGACTTTGAGCAATAAATAACTATCAACAATGTTGGCACTGTGGAAACGAACCCTGAATTGTAGATTCCAAGGAGAAAATTTGGTTTCTTTTATCAAGAATGTAGGAAAAGGAGCTGAAGCAAAGCTCAGTCCTACGAATGGGAAAGAACGAACATGTTAGCGATGTATCAAAGCAAAACAATATTTTAGGTCTTACACTGATGAAAACTACGATTATAAAGCACATATTTAACAATGATGAAGAAAAAAAATATCCAAATAGAACAATGACTTCAATGTTACTAGTGGTAATGATATCTAACATATAAACTACCTAAACATAACTAGTGAACAAAGAACTTATGAATATCAAACTGACAAACCATCTGAGTTTACCTATTTCACAAAGTATGGAATAATAACAAAAGTACAAACCAACTAAAATTACCAAAAAACAAAATAATAATCAATATCAAACTTACAATTCATCTAAATTAACTTAGACGACAAAGGACACATAAGTAAGACCAACACTGACTATAATTATGATTATAAGGCACATATTTAACAATAGCAAGAAAAAACATTTAGTCAGATAGAACAACAATTTAGATGTGGTTAGTAGTAATGATATGTAACATACAAACTATTTAAACATACCTAGTTAAATTACTTATTAATATTCAACTGAAAAAACCCTCAAAATTTACTGAGTCTACAAAGTACGTAATATTAACAAAAGTGCAAAACAACTAAAATCACCTAGAAATGCAAAGTAATAATCAATATCTAACTTACAAATTATCTAAAGTAACTTAGATGACAAAGGACACATAAGTATCTAACTTACCAAAGTCTGAGCACTGATGATGTGAAATACTTAATTCTCCTGTGTGTAAAAAAGGACACAGCCACACAGAAGCAATTTGAGCCATGCTTGCAATTGGTATAACAACCAGGTGTAAAGTGTACAAGTTGAAAAACTTACCCCAGATCCCCTGGGAAAATTGAAAGCAATATGAAGAAAGGAAGAGAAGAATAAACTTCCACCAAAGTGAACGATATGGTGGTATGGCAACTGGAGCAAGAAAAAGAAAACTAGCAAAACCACTCTCATCTTGAACATACAGCAAAACTAGAATATGCATTGACTGACAACCTGATTAACAAGCTGTAAAAACTGTGGAAGGGGAAAAATTCCTGAAGAAGTGTAGTGTGTAACAGACCAAAAAAGAAGGTTCTGAAAAGAAAAAGAAAAAAAAAAAAAAAAAGAAGTTCAAATTGTCTTTTCCTTGATTGCATTCTTCCTCAGAAATATTGTCATGTTGAAAAGAAAAGAAATTGCTAGCTCAACATAAGAATCTAGTTCCCTCTGAATTAAGGCCTGTATTTCCTCTGTATATAAAGTCAAACCCGGTTCCTGGGAAGTTATATCAGTAGTGTTTTTGATATATTTAATCACGAATTTATACTAAGATCGCTTACAATTTGGTAACAAGAAATACCTCCCCCCCAAAAAAAAAAATTCATTGAAACAACTGAATGCAAATACTGTAAATAAACTGTTGAAAAAAAATTTAAATAGCAAAGTATCACAATAATAAATGGTAGCCACAAGTGGAAAAAAACATGTCCAAACAATTATTTGCCAATTGAGAAATGTATTTAGACTGGTGTGCTGAGCATGAACATTTTTTAGCAATAATTAGAGGGCAGAAAGATGATCAAGATAGTTTTGTCAGTAGGAGGAGGTAAGACCTTATTGGATGAATAAAATTTTCTCATCATCAATCCATTACCCATGTAAAAGAAATAAATATTATGCAACATAATGCACAGGAATGAACACACCCTTTCCAAACCAAAAATAAACAATGCCATTAAAATATATCAAGTTTATAAAATGCCCAGGTTCTATTTAACAATAAAAAGAGTCATTACACACTGAAGTGCTTCAAGATAGAATATCTATTTCTACATAACAATTTTTTCTCAATTTGTAAACAGAATGATGGTAACAATAGGATATTATAATATGCTATAATGCCAGTTCATAAACTTACCTTTACTTCATCAGCATACATTTTAAGACTAAAAGAAAACTTAGTGCGAGTACGAGTTCCTCTGAAGAGTATACGTTGTTCATTAAGGTTGTGAGTAGCATGTGTAAGCAAGGAGACAGAGAGATTGGACTGGCTGTTGCAGAAGTTTACCTCTGCTTGCGTCAAAGACACATCTACTCGAACCAAGCTGTCCTCTGGAAAACAAAATAATTCATTAAAGAACAAGATTATCTAAGAAGGACAAAACCACATGATTATGAAGACCTCTACCTAACTTAGGCTTCACTTTCACAAAAATCTTTAGATCATTCCTCACACTGGACTTTTTTTTTTCAGCATTTGCTACAACTAGAAAAATAACAGTCACACTGCTGCACAGGTTACCCTAAAGTTTTTAGGGACTGAAAACAAAGTCACAAGTAGACGTACAAGTTTCAACAGTTTATCTAATTTAAAATGCTGAGAGTTATTATACTATGGCAACACTACCAAGGTAATATCTAAAATAACAGCTGTAATTGTTACACTGGCAATAGTTCATTTATAAATTCTTTGTTTTTTAGTATTTTTTAATGAAGCTTTATCATGCACATGGTGATTTCCCAATAATTTCATAATAAACATAATATTTTCAAGCACTAATCACATCAGCCAGCATGTATGTTTATGAAATATATTCTTACTGTCCATGTCTCCCATCTTCTGTTTATACTGAATCCTAAACAAGAAAGCCTCAAGAATAAAAGCGATGATGATATTTATCACCACCTGCAATAGGAAGAAACAAATTATTTTAGAAATTTTGCTATCCAGTTACTTTATATTTCAGTATTATAACATTTTAAACAGTAGAATGTAGTATTACAGTGCATTAGCTTCTTGTACTCAGTTTGGTTTTTCTTCAATACCTATCGATGAATAATGATAAACAGAAACAATATCCAAAAATAATAATAATACATCTCCAGATTTTAAAAATAATGTTCTTTTTCTTCATTTCTAATACTTTCCCAAGCAACTATATTAGAAAAAAAAAGCCTTCAATCTATTAAGCCTACTGAAAAATATAATCATGGGTCAATCTATCAGACTTCTAAGAAACATCATCATAGATTGACCTATGATGATGTTCCTTAGAAGTCTGGTAGATTGACCTACCAGACTTCTGAGGAACATCTCAACAGGCCAATCTACCAGACTTCAAAGGAACATCTCAACATGTCAATCTACCAGACTTCTAAGGAACATCTCAACATGTCAATCTACCAGACTTCAAAGGAACATCTCAACATGTCAATCTACCAGACTTCTAAGGAACATCTCAACATGTCAATCTACCAGACTTCAAAGGAACATCTCAACAGGCCAATCTACCAGACTTCAAAGGAACATCTCAACATGTCAATCTACCAGACTTCTAAGGAACATCTCAACATGTCAATCTACCAGACTTCTAACGAACATCTCAACATGTCAATCTACCAGACTTCTAAGAAACATCATCATGGGTCAATCTACCAGACTTTTAAGAAACATCATCATATATAATTCTACCAGACTTCTAAGAAACATCATCATGGGTCATTCTACTATATTTCTAAGGAACATCATAATAGGTCAATCTACCACACTTCTAAGGATCATCATCATAGGTCAATTTATAAGACTTCTAAGGAACATCATCATAAGTCAGTCTACCAGACTTCTAAGAAATATCATCATGAGTCAATCTACTAGACTTCTAAGGAATATCATCATGAGTCAATCTGCCAGACTTCTAAGAAACATCATCATGAGTCAATCTACCAGATTTCTAAGAAACATCATCATGAGTCAATCTACCAGACTTCTAAGAAACATCATCATGAGTCAATCTACCAGACTTCTAAGAAACATCATCATAAGTCAATCTACCAGACTTCTAAGGAATATCATCATGAGTCAATCTACCAGACTTCTAAGAAACATCATCATAAATCAATTTACAAGACTTCTAAAGAACATCATCATAAGTCAGTCTACCAGACTTCTAAGAAATATCATCATGAGTCAATCTACCAGACTTCTAAGGAATATCATCATGAGTCAATCTACCAGACTTCTAAGGAATATCATCATGAGTCAATCTACTAGACTTCTAAGGAATATCATCATGAGTCAATCAACCAGACTTCTAAGGAATATCATCATGAGTCAATCTACCAAACTTCTAAGGAATATCATCATGAGTCAATCTACCAGACTTCTAAGAAACATCATCATCATAAGTCAATTTACCAGGCTTCTAAGGAACATCACAATAGGTAAGTCTATCAGATTTCTCAGACATATCACCAGATCATTCTATCAGATTTCTCAGACATATCACCAGATCATTCTATCAGATTTTGTAGGGAACATCAAAACAGGGATATGTCTAAAATTTCTTAATTACAGAAGAAGCAAAAAAAAGTGATGAATAAAAATGCTAAAAATGTATATAACAGATCTTACCATTGTAACCACATAAAACAGCATGAAATATATTCGACTCCATTCTGTAGCGACATTAGCATAACCATCCATGATGATGAACCAGTTATTGACTACCATCAATTCAAACAACGTAACTGTAAGACACCATAAATGATAAAGGTATATCATGCACAGTAATCAGCTCTAATCACTTAAAACAGTATAACTGTATTACAGCATTGTAGTACCCTATTCACAGAATAGCAGCTCCTGCTTTAATTATGCAAGAAAACTGAATGATCAACAAAACTTTAATACTGATAGATATATCATCCAGTGAGGTGTAACTTATAACTTCTCTGTAATAATCAGTTTGGATATAATAACTTAAGAAATTACCATATCAACTGACAAACATAATTAGCTATGTCTTTTCAACTGATGGCTAGAATCAGTTTGCAAGGTAGCTGTTAAAAATAAAACCATATTAACTAACTTTTTGCTTTCCTAGTTTAACAGAAAGTAGCTGTTAAAAGTAAAATCACATTTACTGATACACACAACTAACTGAGCTTTGTTTTTTTCAACTGATGACCACCATCATTTTAAAATAAGGTAGTTATTAATATTAACACTATATCAACTGACAAACATACCTAGCTAAGCTACATTTTTCCAGCATATGACCTCCATCAGTTTGATATTTTGAAAATAAAGACTGTCTCTTGAGACAGGGAAACTATCTTATAATAACAGATTAAGAAAATCCAAACAGAAGAATAGTCATACATATAACTACCATCAGTTTGATACTGGATAACTTGTTAAAATTAGCCATTTGGTTACCAGGTCTTTACATTGTGAGGACCACAAGGACATAATGTAACTCTCGTCATATTTTGTTCCAAAGATAAAACTTAATTTAATTTTTTCTACTTAAAATTCATTATTTATTGTAGTTATTTGTATTCAGAATCTGAATAGCTCAAGTGCAAGGTGATTTTTATGTTAAGTATAAAAATGTTTTTTATCTTACAGTTTAAAAATTTCATTTGCATAATGTCTAGAACCTCCTAAATGAATATCAAAAGTTTTTAAAGGTAAATGCTTATGTTTTATTTTATTTATCTTATCACTAACTGTAGCTATTATTATCAATGTACAGTGGATTAAAATGTATAAAATTAAGAAACAGAAATATGTACATACCATTTAACTATTCACTGAGTAATCTTAAAATATTTTTTTGGCCATATGTGTAATTTCATGTCTTTACCTTTTCACTTATAGTTTATTTTTAAAGTTATATTTTCCTTCCCTGTCCTTTACCATTTATTAATCATCTTGATGCATGTCAACATGTGCCCCTGGGTGATATAACAGTATCACCAGCAGAAATACTTCAGCCTTAGGCAAAATGTTTTTGCACTTGCTTAGTAGCCTAGACTTAATGGAGTGAGGCAAAGTTTGGGTTATATTAAAAAATTACTAAGACTTTAAAATATGAATTTTAAAACATAAATAATACATAATTAACTAAAATATAACAGTAAAACATAAATACAATTTAACTATCTATCAAACTAATATGTATCTATGTGAGAAACAACACTAAGTGCTAGCAAGGACAAAACTGCAACAAATACAGCACACCAGTTTTAAAATAACCACTGAGAGATTATCAGTCAGTTAAAGATTGATGTAAAATACTGTCATAAAGAAAAAGAGAAATTTTTCTCAAATTAGAACCATCTAATGAGGGAGAAGCAACTATTTAACTCTTGAATCTAAGTTTCAAATGTTCAGCAACTGCCTGTTGTAGAAACCTACAAATGTAGAGGACGACGTTTGAAAAGTCTGAAGACGAAAGGCGGAACACTTTCGAAACGTCGTCCTCTACATTTGTAGGTTTCTACAACAGGCAGTTACTGTCCATTTGAAACTTAGATTCATTATGAATACTCTGCCTAAACATCCTATCAAAGATTAGTTACTTCTCTTTCTATAGGCTGTTTATTTGACCTAAAAACTGACCCTAAATTGACCTTCAGAATTTGCATACTATAACTTCTAATATGTTTTTTGTATCTTCACGAAATTTCAATAACCATTAACAGACATTTGTAGACAAAAAAAAAAATTCAAAATCATTAATGATATATTTTCACAAAAATTTCTCTATGAATATATGGATTCAAAGTTTTGACTGTTCCGAGTGCAAAATGATTTAATGTTAAGATTGAAAATACTTTTCTTCATCGTGAAAATCTCAAATTTCACTTGCATAATCTCTAAAACCTCCTAAATAAATTCCAAATGTTTTTTTTTCAGTAAAACTTTGTTTTATCTGTAATTTTCTCTATCCTAACTCTATGTGAGGTTAGTCATTTTGACTGACCTTGTAACCACAAAAAAGAAAAACACCTAAATTACCTCTTTTTTTCTTTCTAGAAGACTTCAAATTGTAACAACAAACAACATTTGTTTATCCTAAATAACTTTAAACCTGTAACAGTATACATCTATTTATACCTTATTTATTTACACTTTCAGCAAACAAGTTGTAAACCACTTGGCAAATGTGTTGCTCACATTATCCTATTGAATTACTTAATGCACGGGCTATTTGCAAGTTGTTCACAAGTGTACCCTGTGAAAATTTTATTTTTCTTCTTCATTTCACTGAATGTAACATAAAAAGTTTTTAATATTTACATTTTAGATAATTTTATAATAATAAATAAAGAATACACATGAAAAACAAGAAATACAGTACGTACCTGAGTCTTTTTCAGTCAACTGTCAATGAAACTTAACCCTACTTTTTATACTAATGGTACTAATGCACTAAATAATTGTTTATTTAATTAAATAATGTACCAAAGAACACAGAATAACTATCACAATTTTTCTGCCTTTCTAATTATGTGACAAGAGCTCTTAAAAATTCAGCTAAGCATGTTTATATGTTTCTTGTGGGAATAAAGTTTGAACTGGAAGCAAAATAGAATTTTCTGTACAGCAAACATGATGTAACAGGTCATTTGATAGATTAAAACTTTAGCATTCTATTGGTTATGAATAATATAGGATTAAAAGTCAGAGAGAAGTGTCAGTAAGTTCTGAAAGAAAGGATGTGACAGGTGGGCATGGCAAGAGGGGTCTGATTTTCTATTTTATGGTTCTGTAACCAAACAAGATTAGCCCTAACAAAATGGGTCACGGGTCAAAGGCCATGTCATTGGATTTGTTGATCCGCATTCAAAACTTTATTCAACTACTATCTTATAGCTTTATTCAATAAGTTTGGTATCAAATTGAAGATTATAATTCAAATTGTAGTGATATACATTAGTTAATTTCTTAACTTAAAAGTAAATATTTAAAAAACACACCTAATATCGATTTTTGCATGTCACGTGCATTGGTTCAAATTAGATGTTTGTGACATCAAAATACAAAGTCTATAGTTTCTTACGAACTAGGAATGCAAGTTACCTATACCGACAAGCAAGAATATAAAATAAGAATCTCCTATCTTTTCTAGTTGCTGAGATATTGCTATGTTTACTGACTCAAACACAGTGGCCATGCCTACTTCTTTCCATTTTTAGAAACTTGCTTAATTGCTTACATACACCTATTTCTGCCTACAACACGTATATAACCAATCAAAAGTTCAGAATGTCCCTCTAGTGGCTTTCACAGCCTTTTTAAAATATATGGATATGGAACTCTTTCTTTTTATACAAGATTCCAACAGGTAAGGTAAAACTTTAGTGAGCCCAAAATGTCATACTTTTTTAGACCTAAATACAGATTAATAAATTATAGTGGAATTCTATGGTATTGATATACTAATATATGATTTTTGGTTATTTCTAAATGTATATATGAAACCTAAAAAATATTTTTTCGTTTTACGTCCTCTACATGCGAAATTTGATAAGGCTTAGCAAGCTACAACAAGCAGTAACTGAGTACAAAGGTTGTAACTAGTAGAGATAATTATTTGCTTTACTTCTTTATTTACTGTTCTATGTTTTAAGAAAAATAAGTACTTATTTGTAAATAGTAATAATCTATATATACATATAATGTATAATAATTGAAATGTGACACAATTTTACAAAATATTAGTCCACTAAAACACAGCTAAGACAGGTCACTTTATAAAAGCCAATCTTATATTCTTGATATGGAAAGAAGAGTGCACATGTGCAGCATCATTGCAACCTCTATAATGTTAGCTAGTCACAGCTGAAAGGTCAATGTAATAAAAATAATAAATATATATAAATGTCTAATGTTATGAAATTAAAGTTATTTGTGTTTTTGTGTTATAATTTGTAGTCATTCTAGAACAAAAAAGCATAATTTATATATATTTCCTAATTCTTTATGGTTGTTACAAGGTCGGTCAAATTGACAGACCCCATATAAAGTTAGGGTAAAGAAAATAACATATAAATTATAAAGTTTTACTGAAAATAAACATGTGAAATGTATTTAGGAGGTTGTAGAGATTACACTAATGATATTTGAGATTTTGGGGATGAAGAATAGTTATTTAATCATAACATGAAAGTCAATTTGCACTTGGACTAGTAATGAAACAGATTCGATATATTCACAAACAAATCTTTAGTAAAAATACTTCATTAAAAATGTGATTTTTTTCTACAAAAGACTTGTAAAGTTTACTATAAGTCTACCAAATTTTGTGAAGATACACATGCTGCATTAAAAGTTATTGTATAAATACTTAATGTGTGCAAATGTGTATATGAACTCGTGTATTTTTTACCAAGCACGTCAGAAAAAGGTGAAAGTCTATAAAAATTTTACTTTACCTGAGCAATAAACACATTATAATGACTAATTTACATTAAATTTCATATTTCTTGGAGGGGTGGTAAATAAATTAGAGAAGAGGGGATACCTAGAAAGCAAATGTCACAATTCTCATACTAGGAGAAATTCAGGAATTTTGAAATATTGCCTTATAAAATTAAGAACTTGAAACTTATAATATATTATAATTTGGATTATTAACCACATTTTTATAACAAGCATATTTGTATACCATAATAAGAAAGTAGTTTAATTAAGTTTTGAATGTAACTCAGTAAAACCTTGTGACATGCTGAAAAGAATGCCAGTAGTGAGAGGGTTAACAGAGTAAGATAACCTAAATACAAACATAGTTGTACAGTTTTAACCATTAACAGCTTAGACAAAATCACTTTGAGCCAACATTGCTGTAAACAACACACATAAAACTAACAGGAAAAAAAAAAATCTGTCTGTCATAGTTGCTAAACTCAGCAATGAGAAAAATAGAGCAACCTAAAAATTAGGGAAAAGTAACAAAAAGCATAAATATAACATTAACATTCACCTAACTGCAAGTAAAAATCTTGCATTTTTGCCATCGATATACAGTAAATACACTTCAAATAGGTCATTAATTCAAGGATAAAAATGTTCTAAATGATATCCATACTAGGCTTTGACTTTACACTCACATATTTAAGTTTAAAGCAAGTTTTTTTTATCTTTATTTTATTATCATTTATGTTATTATCATTTTTTTTCAGTGTTATTTCAATGGTCTTTGTTCAGCTGTTTTGCTTTCCATGTTTTGTTCTTGTAGTATTATTTAATATTTGCCAGGAAAGTAAAGCTTATATAAAATACTGCAACAACACTGAAGAAGTGTTCAGTATTTGCTCCGTGTTAATCAGTGAATAGCTGATATACACAATGCTTTTTGAACTAATGAGAATATGAAATTAAGTTTATGTTACTAATATGAATGACAACAGTACTTCAGGAAAATAAATTCTTGTTTGAAACAAAACATGACAAATCAGGAAACACAGGCTATACACGATACTTAATGGACTAACAAGAGTTTGCAATTTGGTTCATGTCCCTGATACGAATTACAATAGTGCTTCATGAAAATAAATTCTATGCTGTAGGTGAGAAAAATGTGATAAATCAGTGCTTAAAAATATAACAGGACAAATGAACAGGATCAAAATCTCATAATTCACAATTTAAACAAGACACCTGGCAGCTACATGGTGTTTACTTATTTAACAAAGGATTTCTCTAATCAGGTGTCAATCACCACTACCATACAAAATTATTGAAAACAAACAGCTTTCTAATAAATGATCATTACCAAATATAAATTACTACCTGAATGCCCATCATATGACTGTAAATTCTAATTAATTTTTCTTCTGAAAATCAGATCTAAATAAATGTTTTATGAACATGTTTTCTAAAAATTAATTATAGTCACAATAAAGGCATAAAGAATGTTTATCCTTTTTCTATTATTACACAAGAACAACACTTTCTGTGTATATTTGGTCTACTACTGTAAGTGGTCCTTGATTATAATTTTGACTTATGTACATTTCCATGTTACATTTAAATCTGCTTTTTGATAAAGCCTTATAAGTGTTACTATGTGAAAAAAACTGTTTCTCAAAGAAACATTCTTATTAAGGAACATTTTGGTGGTGCATTGAGTGACTCTAAAAAGCACATTATTAATCTTTCAGACTACTGCCTCTCTGAAGCAGAAGACATGGTCTAGAGTTTTGTGTACCTACTAACAATGTCCAGAGAGAGAGAAGACTTTTGCAGAATTTGAAGTTTTATATGCTCAATTTACTAAACATAAACCAATATCGGACAAAGAACTAAGTTCACTAAAGGCCAGACTTCGTGATTTGGCACATGCTTACTGTGGCACACCAATCGACCTTACCGACTTCTATATGCATAGAGAACATTTTCAGGCAGTAAATGTGACATTTTAAATGATGAAACAAAATTCAAAATGTTGGGCACTGTCTTGCAAAATGATAACATGGCAGAAAATTGAAAACAAGTTACAAAAACGCCTATTAGAACAGAAAGGTTCCTTACTACGTGATATTTATGACTAGATTAGGCCCGCAGGCTCACAACTTTCCTGCATATATGGCGTTCCTAAAACGCACAAAAAGGATGTACCACTCTGCCCGATTTTGTCTATGATTGGCTCTGCACAACATGAATTAGCGAAGTAGCTTTCAGAAATTTTAGAACAGGTGTTAACATACTTTTCGGAAAACTGTATTCAAGACACCTTTTGTTTTGCTACAACCATACAGAGCCTTAGCCTTGACCCTAAACAATCGTTTTTGTGCTCTTTTGACATCAGCAGCCTGTTTACTAATGTACCCTTGGAAGAAACCATCAAAAT